GGAATGCCCAGCACTTCTAAATGCAGGCTCCTAACTCTGGGCAGACGTGGCCAGCCGTGGCCCAGATGTAAATAAAGAGCACAGATTATCCTGGGACAGTTCTTGCTGCCTTTGAGGACCACACCGTGTTTCAGCGCTGGGAAGAGCCTGCTCAGAGAAGCAGCTGCTGCAGCCAGTACTCACAGACAGCTCCTGGGCTGGGGCCTCCCCCGGACGTGCACAGTGAACACACCCACCACGAGTTAGACTGCAGGCAAGAGGCTTTGCCAGGTTTACCTGAGCTTGAACACGTGCTTTTTCTTCTTGTAATCGACCGCTACTTCACAGACTGCGTCCTTCAAGCTGACGGGAATCTCGTTGTGGTAGGGGATGCCAGAAGCAGCAGCTTTGGAATCCTTGTAGAAGCCCATCTCTTGGTTGTTTATGACACAGTACACGTTATGCCACGACCTTCAAGACATGGAAAACAACAAAAGCATTTATAAGTCTAACGCTCTCACTCGTAGAACTGGGGAAACCATAGACAATTATTTCTATGGGATAATGGAGAGTAGTTGAGCCTGAGGAGGTGAACACAGCCTACACTGTCCTGCACACTGCAGACAGACAGTGCTCTCACTAAAGCACAGCTTCACAACAAAAGCCCAGACCTGGAGCCAAGTGGAACAGAGATTCCCAGAGCCCTCTGTGACAGCACATACCCTAACAGTGGATGGACTGTTTGGCAGGCTGGGCAGTTTGCATACTCAGGAGGGAGATTCACTGAGCTTTTAATGACTACATTTTATTGCAGAAGGAATTCTCCTTGGGCTGCAAACTAACAAAGGGATTGCAAATGAAATCCTCCATTGATACAAACACTCTTAGTTGTACCTACCATCCACCTCATTCTCTAATATGGCTATAAAAATCAATCCTTACTAGAGTCCCTAGGCATTGGTACTGGTGGCTGTTGCTGTCTCAGGGAGAACTCCAGTGTGAACAACTGTAGCTGAACAAAGCTTGTGGCAGTACTGTACTCATCTGTGATCTGCACCCAGCTCTGCTGAGTGCTTGGGCTCCTACCAAATCCCTCAGATGCTGCTGTAGCTCACCACTTGCTAGTCAATATTCTCCTTGTCAGCCAAGTCACAAACCCCGTCTGAAGGGCTCCCTCAGGTCACAAAGGACTGCAGTCTGCTTTTCCAGCACAGACAGCAGCCTCAGAAGCTTTGCCTGCTTGAGAGCCACAGGGCTGGATCCTTAGGAACAGAACCAGCTAAGGCACACAAATGATCTTCACCCACTTTTCTCTCCTGAACAGATTACAGAGTAGGTGGCAAGTGCTGATGTGCACACAGAACGTGTCAGAAGAACATGGACATTTCTCACACCTACGCCTTTTTCTTTTCTTGTGGTAAGGTCCAACTTGAGAGATCTGGACTCAAATCCCACTGCTGCCACAGACTCATCATGTGAAGTGGGGAGGTCGTGGTTTCCTCATGCCTCAGCTCTCCTCCCTCCAAACATGGCTAACGCCACATTTCCTGCTGCTGATCTTTAGGGTGCTTCACCAAACACACTGTTCAGCCACACACACAGCTCCTGCAACAGGGGCAGGAGCCTGAAAGGTCCCTGGGAGCTGCGAGGAGCTGCCAGCAGCAGGGATAACATTCCCTGTCTTGGGAGCCTGGATGCAATCAGCTGCATTAGGCACCGAACACTTTACCTGCTGGAGGCTTTCTTGCTGTGTGTCTCCCACTCGTGCTTGCGGTGTAGGAAGCCCTCCATCTGAGCTGAAGGCATCTCCTGTGTTTTGGCTGGTAGGGTGGCAGCAGTCTGGGCCTGAACAGCAGTCTTGGCTTTGCGGTCTGACGTCGGAGAAGGAACAGGACTGGACTCTTTGGAACTTGTCCTCTGTTCTGCAGCTCCATTGACCATTTCGTTTGTTTCTGCAGTCTCTGCCACCTGGGAACAGGGGAAACGAGGTTCAGCCAGAAGCCCCACAACACTGAGGTATCCTGCAGTTAATCTGCTTCCCTGCACAACGTGGCTGTGTATAAACTTTGCCTGGAGAATGACACAGGCCAATAAGATCTTTCTCACACTCCATGGAGACACAGAAGGCCAAGGAAATTAGAAGGTATGAATGGATTAGTACCCATTTTATAGGTGGAGAGATGGGAAAATAAGAGCAGTTAAACATCAGTGTGAATTTTACTGTGCTGGTCAATTCATATTCTCTTACATATTGTTATTCCTAAAATGAGAGCATTCAATTCTGTTGCTAAGTACTCAAATGTTTGGAACAGTAACAATCACACTTTCTGCAAACCTAGAGGAACAGTAGAAGTTATACACATCAGCCACCTTAAACACATTTATGGCTTTACTGGGGTATTAAAAGTCCATAAAAGGTATTAACTATGAGTCAGAGAAAAATAAGTCAAAATTGCCCAGGAGCATTTACAAAAACCTGTGCAATTTCTGTGTTTCTGTAAAAGCTCCTTTCCCGCTTTCCCCATCCCCCTAGTGACACAACAAAACCAAAACATGCAGAAATTAGAGAGATTACATCATGCATTTCACCTCCACCATCCCAGTTAGGATATCGGATCTTAGAGACAAGGGAAATGAGGTCACGTGTCAATTCATCGAGGTCTTTTTCAGACTTGGGTTATTAGGTGGATTGGAGTTTTGTTAAAGGAGCTGAAAACCACCACAGTCACACAGCATCACACAGCTATTTACCCCCAGACAAAGACAGAACCAAGGCCTTGCCCATCACTTGCTTTGTTGGTCGCGTTGCCTCTCGCACTGTGATCGAGACAGCCTAGAGAGCAGCCGAGTTTCCAGCAGCTCTCACTGGTCAAGCTGTCGACGTCTTCAGGAGCCATTCATCCAAAAATCAGTTAAATTGGAATCCTAATGGCTATAAGCTTTTGAAATGCAGCTTGGTCCCAGTTTGTTTTTTGCCCTGTACCATTACTTTGACATGTAGAGCCATTGGTAGCAGCTCAGGAGCTACACAACCAGTGTGTATCGTTGTTATTAGCACGTTACCAAAGCTTAGTGCTGCTAATGCTCTAGCAGATTACAAACATTCTGGACTGGTTTTATGCAGACAAGCAGGTACTTGTGAATGGCACAGTAATTAGACATTCCCACTTCTGCACATGGCCTGGACAATTCAAAAGCAGCCGAATTAATATGCAACAAACTAAATTTTGCCACCGTTTGCTACAACTCCTTATACCTGCCAAGTCCACATTGTTGTACCTCACGCCTTCGTCCCTCACGTATTGACCTAGGAAGATCTAAGTGTCAGCTTGCTCTGAACATGGGAAGGATTGGTTAACTGCCTTTAAGCCATCTGAATCTCCAGAGTACAGACACTACATCACCAAAACAGGGAAAGAATCACAGCTCACACTCCGCTTCACTCAGATCTGTTTGACTCCGTCCCCAGAGACGTGGAGCCTCACAGCCTCGTTTAGGAGTGGGAACATCTACCCTGCCCTGTTCCCCAGTGGAAGTAAGAACCAGTGCCACTGCTTCTTCAGTTAGGATCCACCTACACCATCAAACCTCACAACGTGACCAAAACATTGCAGTAAAGGGGGGAGAGGGGAAGTGAATAGATGAGGCTGAAGATCACCCAACACCACCAGCACAGTTGCTATGACACAGCCAGTGAACTAACCAGCCAGTGACTCCCCAGTGAGCACTCAATTCCCCAGGTCACACTGAGGAGAACAGACAGCCCGTGGCAAGTCTTCCTGAGCAGGGACAGTGGCTGACCCTTGGCACCCCAGACTGAGACACAGGAGGCCTTTGTGACTGGCAGTAAGGAATTACACAGACCACAACAAATTGTCTGTATGACTCAAACTACCCACAACTACCTGTTACCTAGGCCGCTGCTGAAGGGAGGGTGTTTTCTGCTGGGGGTACCTAAAACCACTAATCTGAAGTAAAACAGACCAGTTTCAAAACAGCAGCCACTGCACAGCTACTTAGCATGTTTTTGTGGCAAACAGCATGTCGTTTGGTGCTGCAGTCTGCAACCCTGTGGTTTTAAAAGGTAACTGCCAACTCCAATTACACAACCAGACCTGTAACCTCCACTTAAAATTCTACTAATTGTAAAAGGGCTATGAAAAGCTTTTCTGATGCTCTTTCAGGTTTTATTTCCTTTTCGTGTGTTATCTACAATTAACAGAAAACAAGCAAAATAAATCTGAATCACAAACAGCTATGCGAAGAACGGGTCATGAAAATAGGGAAAAAACAGGAGCTACACAAACTTTAATGGAAACGTGCATGGGGCATGCAGAGACAACGCAACAGAGGACAAACATCAACAGCAAACTGCACTGTTACAACACAACAGTTACACGTACACCAACAGTTCCCTTCGTGGTGACTGAGGAGTTAGTTGCAGGTGCTTTAGTGGCTACAGACTACCCCTGAGATACTGAAATCGGGGCTGGAACATGCAACCAGACAGCTGGTGACAACGACTGGAGACACGCCTTTGATTTTCAGAGTGCTTGAAGCAACACCTCTGTGCCACAGCTTAATCAATAGAGACCTATTTGCCTTTTTCAGGTGCAAACAGATGACAGCCTGTACACTGTTCTGGCATAAAGTACCACTTGATGGGCTAAGCCCTAGGCAACCCAAGCCAGTACCATAATAAAGAGGTGAAGTCTTACACTTCTAGTGCCTAAAATCATGACCTTCATGACTCAGTTTTTCTTTATATCTAAGTGTACTAATACAAGTTAAGAAGTCTATCTATATAAATTACTTTTACATAGTACTTCTTGGCCAGAACACATCTGCAGGCTTCCCAGACAGTGGAGTCTGAAGCTACAGCTGCACTGCTCTGAGAACTGTCACACTCTTAGAGGCGCAGAGCCAGCACTGGTGTAGGGAGGCACCAGATCATCTGCATAAGCGTGCATGGAACCTTTAAAAACATTAAGAAGCTATACGTTGTTATCCTGACAAAAGAAAAAAAAACATGCATCATGAAGTGGAAAGACAAGTTACAGCAGAAGTACAATTCCTGAAGCACGCCCTCTCCATCACCTTCCTCGCTTCACACGCTCAGCCCACAGAGAACCATTCGGCTGCACTGCTCAGCAGCGGTCAGAAGTCAGAATCCTGATCAAGCACAGCACCCCTTGGGCCCCAACTCTCAAACAATACAGCTGTGCACAGCTGTACTGCAGGGTGCAAGGAACTGAGCTCAGAAGCTCCCGTGAAAGGCCGAAGCGCAGGTGGCGAAGGCAAACATGGAAATGTGTGTGTGCCATGGTAATAACATCTAAAAAAAGCAGCAAGCAGGGGATGTATGAGGCTGTGCTAACCAACCAGATGATGAGGGTCTGTGATGCTCTTGCAGGCCACCTCATGTTCCTTGCCACAACTATGCATGATTTCACAAACATCAACATGTACAACAGGCAGCTCACTTCAAAATTTTACATCATAGATGAACTGAAAGGCTTCATTTCAAGAAAGGAAAAGGCAGAACTGCTCAGGACCCTTCAACATTGACAAGAGTCTGTGTGCAGACCCAAAAGTAACGGGATGGGCTATCTGAGAAACTGATGCTGAAAGGCACTTCCTCCTGGAGTCCTGGATGGGACCCACGTTTCCATTGCAGTACTGGTAAGAGCTCCAGTATCTCCCAGTCTGAGCCTGCCAGGAGCCTTTCCTGCACTTAGTATGACCTAAGAGAGTGAAGGTCAAAACCAGAAGAAAAAGAAGTGTCACCCTCCTCACCACTCAAAGGACTCATTGAAACAAGCAGGCTCCACAGGAAGGCAAAGGGGAGGTGAGCCAGTTTTCAACCCCCATGTTGTGCCAGCTCTACACACGTATGTACTGGTGTGTTTATGGTGCCTGTTGAGAACACTGGCATGCACCCTGACTCCACTGGGACAGCCTCCACCAAGAAGGAGTGAACGAGGCACGGACCATTCAGCCTACACCTAGAGAAAATAGAGAGCTGGGATCATAGACCAATGGATTTTATTTAGTTTTTGAAGAAAAGCATCACAACCTCTCCTGGAGGGCCCACACTCTGCTCTCACTTACACCCCTGTCCCTCCAGACCCAGCAAAGACAACCGCTGTCGTGTCAATTGTACAGGACCAAAAACGAGGCCCCCAGGCAGCTATTCAGCAAGATCACAACTCTTCCTGGGGACTACACACCCAGGTGAATCTAGATACTAGTTTTTCATGTTTTATTTCACGTTTATTTTTATCTGCAGTCAGTGAGTCCATTCTGCATGGAATGTTGTACAACTAACCCTAAGGCTTTTGTTTGCTGACAGTCACAGCTCTGCCCCCTCCCCAGGCCTCTCCTGCCAAGCTCACTTGCACGTGTTCTCTTTGGCCTTGGCAAGAACTTGCTTGCTAATGCAGCTGATTTAATGATGTTGCCGTGCTGAAACCTGTTAGTGTAACTCGATGCGTCATACCTGTCAGACTCTAGTTCTCTTCTTCATTATGATGTAATCTCATTAAATCTCAATTACTCATATATAGGACGATTTAGCTGGAAAATCTTAATACTATTAGCGACATGAAAAACTCACAGTAAATAACATGAAATAAATGTGTCACCTTAAAGCAACTGAGTGTCAGTGGGGAGATTCAAATAAACAAGGATTTAAGTGAAGCAAATATATCTCCCAGGGCTGCTAATTAAATAAAAGTCAACTGATGGGAAGGAAGAGAAAAGCAGCAGGGAAATCTGAAGCCAAAAGATTAAACCAGTACCAGTAGACCATACTGAAAAAAGGTGTCTTTTGCTGCAAATGATTCTGTGTGTCACAGTCCAGACCACGACCGGTCATTGGCTGTCCGTCTGCTAATAAAGTTTTTGTAGTTTTGGTAGGTTTGGGAGCGGTAACTAACCCGTGGAGATTCCTGGTCTGATGGCAAACCATTCTGGGAAACTTGTTCTCCTTTTGTCCCATCCCTGTCGGGAGAGAGGAAAAGGAAATTGTGGTTAGTTCTTCACAGTCACCCATCTTCTTCACCAAAATGAGATTTTCCTTCTGAATATTGCACACCTCAAATTCAAGCAAGTTCTTAAAATCCTCAGACCAAACTGAATAAAACCAGTGATTAGGGAGATCAAAACAGCCCTTCCTGACAGTTACCTTACAAACTGGCCTACTCCTGTCATGTAAGTCATCTTCTAACTGCTCATGTTTCATGGGTGTGGCTTGAAGCCTGTCTGTAAATGATGCTCATCGAAGAAAGGCAAGACTGCTCAGAAATCTGAATTGATGACAGGGAGAGGAAAACCAGCATTGTTCCTCCAGGGCCAGGTACAGCCCAGCAGCTGTAATGCTGTGCCATGATGAAACATTTCAACGTTCACCTTAGCTGTGAATTTGGGTGTCTGGCAAAGGCCCTGTCCCCATAAACCACCAAGTCTATCAAAAAGGGACACGTTACAAAGCCATAGGATCTCCAGCCTCCCTCTACAGCACAGCTCCAGGCTGGGAACTCTGCCAGTCCCCAGCGTGGCTCCCCGGGCTCACCACTGCTGCTGGGAGGCCGCATCCTCGGCAACCTTGGGGCTGGGCTCGGGGGTGGGTGGCTGTCTCTTCCTCTCCTCCTCCTCCTGCTGCCGACGGACTTCCAGCAGTTCCAGCTGAGGAATGAGACACATTTGTGCACATCAAAGCACCGCACGTGTTTTTTTCAGAGGCATTTCTAGAAACTAAAAAATAGCTGCAGTTTTTCTGAAATATGACTGAAATGGAAGTTTATGGGAATGAAGTTTGAAGGCATCAGTCTTTCAAGGCATTGATCAGGTGGCGTGCCTGGGCACCACTGCCCATGCTTCTTTCCTAATTCATTTTATCAGAACAAAAGAACAAAACCAAGAAAGCAGCCAAAGCTATTACAAGACTGAAAAGTGACATCCTCTTGTCAGTTTGCCATCCATAGAAATGAAGCATTCCACATCCAAACCCCAGAAATTAACCACCTAAATAAAACCAGCCTGGTTTCTGAAGCTGCTGAGAAACTCCAGTTCTCTTGGTCTGCAGCTGTGATGCTCAGTGTGTGTGAAAAATCCAGCCACTTCCATTTTGGTGTCTACAGTAAAATTATTCTCCAAAGATGGAAACAGGCTCTCCAAGCATGAATTACTGACTGCAGCTGTGCTCAAAATGTTTGGGGCTTTTTGGCTTCTTAAGTCTTCCTAGGAAGCAATACAGCCTTGTATTGGAGCAGTCACAACACAACAAACAGTTCTGTGGAACCCCCCCTGCCCACCACTGTCTCCTCACACTGCTGTCTTTAACCAAAAATCATTTCAAGTGTTTGGAACTGGGGTTTCTTCACTCAGACTCCTCCTTCCCTTTGAGCAGTACAACCTGTAGGGCTGGAGAAAACTGCTCAGCTCTTCAATTTGCTTCTGGGTCATCATCACTCCTGGGCCTGAGACAGCTCTTGCTGACTACTAAGGCATTTTATCACTTCAGCTTTTTCATTGCAGGTTGCCAGGTTTAAATCAACCAGAGAAGGTTTGGGTATTGTTGGGAATATGAAAATTCAGGCCCTGGGTTATTGACTGGGGTTGATCAACACACAGATCAACAAATGGAGATTAGGCTGGTGACGCTGGGAGCTACTCTGAACAACCAGCTGGCACCAAAAGGAAGGGGGATGGCCAGGAGAGGTTATTCTCCCCTAGAGCACTCACTGTGGTCAGTCTCTCCAGTGCTGCAAACCTCTCATCCCACGTAGCTGCGGATTTTTCAAACGCTTCGTGCCGCTTAATCAGCTTCTCCACCTCGTCCACACTCTGGCCGATCTCGCGGCTGGACAGGGAGGGCTCCTGCCCCACCAGGTAGGGCTCCTGCCCCAGCAGCCAGGCCTCCGCCACGCTGGCGTCCCTGGAAAACTGGTGCACCTCCAGAACTGGGCAGAGAACGTACAGCATCAGCACCACCAGCCTCACAACCAGCACCACGCAGTCACCAGCTTTGCTTGGAACACAGCTCAGTGAAAAAAGTAAATGTATTTGGCTGAGTACTTTCCTTAACTGAGCTCACTGAAATTAATGGGTTAAAAGACAGAAACTTATCCTGTAAGCTTTGCTTTGAGGAAAAATTAGTTTCTTCTACAGACTGTTTGATTTTGCAATTTCAGTGTTTCCTTTTAGTTCCAGTCTGCTGCACTCTACCAGCTCCAGAGCCTGTTGCCTGCTGCTTGGTTCCTCAGGCTGGCCTGTCTATGAACAGACAGACCCAACGCTGCACTCCCTGCAGCAGGCAGGCTCCCTGCACTTCATGCTTGTCTACAGTTACACCATTCCAGGTTCCCTTCCTTCTCTATTCACAGCTAAAAAAAATCTGCCACTGCTTTTCCAAATGGGATCAAGCAATTTTGATGAGTAATATGGTACAAACACCATAACTGAAGGACAACTGCCCATCACAACGTACTCCTGAAAGCCTGCTGGGTCTCAGAAACAATGAAGAACATTTACAGAGCAGCCCAGAGCAACCACACTACTGCCCTCTATGTTCTGAGCTCCTGGAGGACTGCCTGCTGCAAAGGCTCCAGGCTGTGCAGGACATGTGGGCCACCTTGGCAGGGCATCAGAACTAGGTTACTGCTGCTGGTGTAAGACTTGCAAAACACTGCCACGCTCTGGAGTCCACCTTTTGTCAGGCCACTGCTCATCACCATTCTAGCCTCTCAGATAACACAGGCATAAGGTAGCAGGGCTTTACTTCTCCCCACTTTTTAGTAGTGCATCCTTCCTGGAAACACAGTTGGAATGTGACACCTGCCAAACACGGCAGATCTGTTTCACCTAGCTCCAAATTTGATCACACAGAGCAAGACCTTTGGTGCAAGTTTCTGGGTTTCAAATTCTCTGTTATTTTGCAGTCGACAGGGGTGAATCTTACCCCTGTTACAGTACAAACTCTCTTTCAAGCACTGCTAGTACAAAAGGGAGGGGCTGCAGGTTTTTTCAACTGCTCAGAAAGACTCAGCCCTGCCCAAAACAGATCCAAGGATGTCCTTACTCAGTCTCAGCCACTCCCATCGGTCTTCCCATTTGTCAATCATTTCTTTTCTCTTTTCTGTCAGCTGCAGCAGCTTCTCCTTGATCTGGATTGAAGAGGAGAAAGCAGGACTGTTACACAGCAGGCTCACCCCACCACACCACATAAGCCATTACTGCCAGCACTGACAAAACACATTGGGCTAGATTGTCAGGAAGTGACTTAGACATTAATACAGCAGCTGCTTTTCTCTTCCAAGTATAAATAAATGTGACATTTGCGTTAAAATACCACATTTGCATAAGCACACAGGATCTGTTAAAAACTCTAGCACTAGGAGTATTTGATAAAAAGAGTATAACTGACAAACTGGAACGGTGCAATCACGGATTTTATCTTCTGCCTTTTTTTCTAGCAAATACTGTGGAACATGCTGCCTGTGACAGTTACAGAAGCCTGCAGCTGCCTGCACTAATGCCACTGATGTCCCTGCATAAGCCCTGTGGTGTTCTCAGGGTGAACACTTGCTAGCAAAACCTCCCAGTGCTGAGCAAGCTTTCTCCAAGGATACTCCAGCACTTGGGTGTAAGGCAGACACAGAAATCCCACCTCCCCAAGTGGGCAGTCTTATGACAATTCACTATCCTCCTTCCACCAAAGGCAGGAGGAAGGAACATGGGTGAAAACTCTATCCTCTGGCCTAAGCAAATCAGAAAATACCTCAAGGGCTTCAGCAGCTAGGTAGGTTTTTCTCTTAATATTCCCTGCATTCACCCCTGTTAGACAGACTTTCTCCTGCTTCTTCCCCCAGCAGGACTCTTCACAGCATTCCAGTTCCCCTGCACAAAATTCAGCCTGGCTCACAGCTGCCTCTCAAAGAAGCCACCTTTCCAAACACAGCAACAACTTCTTCATCTTTCCAAATGAAAATGACACTTTAAAGTTAGGTGCCACTTCTGCTACCCTACAGGAATTCACAGAGCTAAATTATACATGAACTTCACAACAGCAAAAGAAGTGCAACAGTCCCAGAAGCACGTGGCTCATTAGAAACACGCGGCTTATTCACCCACAGACCACACAAGGCAAGTTCCTCCAGCTGGACCAAAACCTGCAGGGCAGCTGCACTGTGGCTGCTGCACCCTGCAGAGCACAGTACCTCCTCTGAAGCGTAGTGCTTTCTGGCCAGGAGAGACTTGCCCAGCTCAATGCAGGTAGTGAAGCTGTCGTTTCGGGCATCGATTTCGGCTTTGATACCCTGGTGATTGTTCATGAGGAGTTCAACAGATGAAACATCCCTAAAAAGACCAATCCATGGTACAGAAACATGTATTCCAGATCTAGCTGCTGTTTTGTTTTCAAACAAGTCAACTAACCCAGAGCTGGTTGAAAGGTAGGAGTCAGA